TTGTAAACCAAGAGCTACTGGCATTGGAGATGTTAATTCCATCAATCTTTTGACGATGATTCTTAAGTCAGAAATAGGTTAAAATATTAATTTAGTCTCTTAACTTTTAAATTTATATTAAAATTATCTTTTAACTTCAAAATATACCAATATTGTCCTTAATCTTTTATTTTGGGAAACAAAATAATCCTTGAACTTCAAAGACAAGTACCAACTTAGTTCTTAAACTTTGAAAACAAGTATCAATTTAGTCTTTAAACTTTGATTATAAATACTAATTTGGTTTTTTAAATTTGATTACATGTCAATTTGATATATAAATAAAAATATGATTACAAAATATGACTGTTTGATTTTATACGTTATTAATATTTAAAAAAAAAACTAATTTTGTAACAAAATAACAAGTCACGCGACATTTCTGTTAATGAGAGAACTATTTTCACATTTCTGTTAATGAGAGAACTATTTTCACATTAAGAATTAAAGTTTAGTGACTATTCTGGTATTTTTTGAAGTTAAAGGACAGTTTTAATATAAATTTCAAAGTTAAGGGATCAAATTGGTATTTTAACCTTGAAAGTAAGGTTGGATTATTAGGTGAAAGGACAGGAAAAGAGGGAGTAATTCAAATCCTTGTTGAGCAGAAGAATATGTATCAGATTCAGTACCAATGTCATATGCTTTGAACCTTTCTGCCTTCTCTTCAACACAATGAGTATATATTGCCAAAATCCCAACAACCATATATACCATTATGGGAGTGCTGTTTTACTTAAAAGTTTAATTTAGATTTATAAAGTAATGATTTTATTTTAAATAAACACGTAGCAACAAATCTATATCAAATTAATGTGCTGATTCGTTTCAGAACAGAAAAACATGAGAATTCCCTATGGAGGCTTAAAAGTTAAGTAGATGCAATGCAAGAGCTACAGAATAAGAATTAAGTCTTCTAAGGATAGAATTTTTTGAGGGAGGTAACAAAAGCAGCATCATCCCATCTATTCTTGAAACAAATCATAGGCATGACAGAATTGACTTCAAATTTAGAGTTTCCCCAAAATGCTTACAATTCAGATAATAAAACTGATAAAGATAGCAACAGAACCATGCAGTTCCCCATGTGACTTTGGTTGTGAAAAAGATGGCATGGACATCAAGTATTGCAACTTGATTGCAGAACCCAACAAAATAGAAAAAGTTGGGTCTTTCCTCATCTTGAGTTTTTTCTCCTCCATAAGTGAAATAATATCCCAGAAAAGGATAAGTTAAGTTGGAAACTTGAAATCAATATGTAGATGTATTGGACAAAGCAGTAGTCTTTAACCACAATGAACAAAAATTTCTATCTTGGACGAGTATATAGGTAGAAATGAGATTTCGATTTATTTAAACTTAGGATTATAGAGGTACAATATAAGCATAACTAAACACACAGAAAAGCAATTCAAAGCATGCAATATCTGTGTAGAGCATAAGATAGGGGGTAAAAAGAGGAATAGTGATACTTCAAGTGAGATGCTTCTCGATAGCCAATTGATTCCCGAGGTTGAGAGGATTGAAAGCCTGGATCTCAAGAAAGTTGTTGGGAGGAAGTTTCATAGGGCTAACAAGTGGCTGTTGCGGGTAGTGCATAGGCTGCAGTGTTGGAGACTTGCGTGCAATGACAACAGAGTTAATAACATCATCAGTTGGATGAAAGATAGATAAAACCTCAAACCCTGTAAGATCACAAGGGTCAACAATAGGATAAAGGAAAGCCCTGGCACCATGAGCACTCCTCACCATCAGAGTTGTTCCAGGAGCCATATGTTTGGCCAAATGATCAATGACTCTAATCTTCTCCTCCTTGTCCATCCCCACTAGAGCTGCCAAGAACACAGCATCAAACTCCTTTAACTCTTCCTTGACATCCATTATATCTGCTGTATGGAATTTCATCCTCTTTGACAAGTCAGGATCAGATGAAACTAACTTGGAAGCCATGGAATTGGCTGAAGGGTCAATGTCATAGTTATGAAAATAAGTTGAGGTAAGATGAAAAGATGCCAATACAATAGAGGAAAGAGGCAGGGGACCAGAACCAACGAAGGCAACCTTCTTGGGTAAATTTGGGCAGTGTTTGGACAAGATGTTGTATTCAAGCTGGCTAAGATTGAGATAGTTGTCATAGTAAGGAAAAAGACTAAGATGGTCAAGAGGGTTGTCAAAGGAACCCAAAATTGAGGAGAAATGACTCTCTAAATATCCTTCAGCTTCTCCACATAGCTTAATCAGATTGGTCCTGATCTCCTGAATTCTTACACAAAGCGTGGTGACATCAATAGGGTTTGGAGGTTTGCATGTGGCCACAAGCTGTGTAAAGAGCATGTCGACATCTTTGGAAGGTTTGAGGCTTTCTAGGCTGGAAATTTTCTCATACAGATCGCAGATTTGTAGAACCAAGGGATTTTCCAGGCAAACCATGTCGACACAATGAGGTTATGCAAGGAAGGAAACAATCCCAAGATGACAATTTCTCCTCCAATGGGGTCATTATTTATGGACAGTTGTGGGGCCCACGCGATCATCAAAGGGTTAGCCTTGTTGCCTTTTCGGCATTTTCCACTAATTATGGCCACATTTAATATATATGATTGTAGTTTTGAAAATTTTATTTTAATTTTTTTTATAAATTTTATAGTTTTAAATAAAAAATTATTTATTATATATATATTTAATATATTATTATAATTATTAAAGAAATAAAAACAAAAATAATTTTATTATTATTAAACAAATAAATATCTTTAATTGCTAAAGTTAAAATTTGTTTTAAACAAATTTTAAATTTTTAAATTTTTATTTTTACTTTTATTTTTTAATAATTATAAAATTTATAAAAATCAAAGCAAAAAAACTCAAAAGCAAATAGTAAACGGAACCGATGGAATCAAACCAAAACCAAGAAAAAGGATACAATTCATGAACTTGGATGTTTTCTAGGGATATTGCACCATGGCTTTAAATGCATGTTCTGTGCCAGAAGGCATGCCGTCCTCTCGTTTACTTGTGGGCTTGTTTGAAACTTTAATTAACTTCCTAACCTTAACTTCAAAATAATATTTGAATATAAATTCAGCTAAATGCTCGTCAATTTGCTTGTCGATTAGTAATTCTAACATGCACGGTGCAACATTGCATAACTCTAAATCTGATGTGAATTTAATTATAATGATCTAAAAAGGTGATGTGACACTAATATAGAAATATATGATATATTATCAGGTGATACACATAACAACTCATATTATTATTATTTAATTTTAATTATATAATAAAAGACAATTTTTTTGTATTCCATATTATGTTCTGTTTTTTAAATTAAAATTTTTTTATTAAAAAAATATTATTATTAAATTATTTAAATCGTTAGTATTATTATTTTTTTTAAAAAAATAATAATATGACATAAATTTGAATTCGATATAAACTTAATCAAGAAACTTTGAGAAAATGTGACATCTCGAGTAATATAAACATTAATATGATATAATCCGTGATGTATTATGAACTTGAACACAGCGTGAATCCTAACGCGAAAATAAACATAAACCCCTATTGCCATTTACTTTTCTTTTCTTTTCTTTTTTCTTTTTTTTTTTTTTAATATTGTGAATGATGAAAATTATGTTTCATTAATTGAGAGGCTTTTGGGTTCATGTTCATGAACATGATCCATCCAACTTTTTTCTGTAAGTGTAAAATTTGGGGCAGAACACTTGAACATCAGTTGTAATTAAGTTAATTTGATTCAGTTCAGTTCCCTAGCTATTGCAGCATTTTTTATGAGGTACGTGCGGTGAATGTGATAACATGAAAGACTTAATAATGTCGACATAATGAAGCCACTGCCATATAGG